ATTTCCAATGGCTAGATGATAAAGGGTGTCATAGATTATCTTAGACTGTTTGCACATAGGAGATTATTTTCCGTAGACGGAAGTATTTCTAAAGTTACTTGGCCTCAGAACGACTATTTCCGTAAATGTGATATACAGAAATATAGTGCAGAAAAAGAGCTTTCAAATGACATATGATAGTTCTACTGAGGTATGGGGTCGAGAAAGATCCACTCGAGAATATGATCAATAATACGTATCAGAAGTGATTACAGTTAATTGGACCCAATTTTTTCTGAGAGCATTTCTAAGGTCTGTCGAGCGGCGAAAAATGTTCTCCTGTTCATTCTGCATCTAACCATGTATGTGTCGATGGAATTCAAGCAGGGGCCGATTCCATCAAATAATCGCCCCCGTCCTTTTAGTGAGAGAAATACGTCACAGATGAACAGCTTGTCCACGTAACGCGCTACTTCGCTGATCAAGTTTTTTTTTCATGTTTTTTACTTGATAAATCGGTAGGAGCACATCACTAGACGCAGTTTTGCACGCTGATTACGAATCTGACTTTTTTTTCAAAAAAAGTGGAATGTTCATTTAAAAAGTTGAAATTGAAATTTTTTAAAAAGTTTATTTTCAATTTCTTCACCTAGACACTTTCTTTAAAAAAATTGCAATATACATCATCGAATAGAGAGTTCAATTCTCTACAGAATGGCTTACTCAGTTTTTGAGTTTTGAGGCTTTAAAATGATTTGTTTATTCTAAAATTAGAGTCAATTTTTCTACATGCTTAGAAATGTGTGAAAAAAATATATCATAATGTGTGTTACTTCGGAACTAGATGTTTCTTTCATAGAATGTCAAAGATCTGTAAGACGATAATCTACTTTGAAATATAACCGTATGAAAACTGATGATTATTCTTTTTTTTGCTCCTGTTACAACTATTTATGTGTAAAACACTAGTATTTTAATAAATTTTCATTTTTATTCTCTTTTAATTTAAGGGTCGTCAATTACAAGATGTAACATTAGAAGAGTTAAATTCATTATCAATAATGCACTTGGATCAGGTATGTGTGTTATTTGTATCAAATCAATGTTATTGTTATTGCTGTTGTTAAGAAAAAAATAGATAGAAAGAAAAAACCATTTAATCACTAGATAATGTTGAACAAATCGAATATTTTCATTTAAATTTTGAATTATTAATAGGAAAAATTTCTTTGATTTATCCTTTTAGTTTTATGAAAAAAAAAGAAAAGAAAGTAATGATACACTACATAATTCTATCATTTATGTTTAGATTATTAACTTGAATTTTGATTTATTCTTTTCCTTTTTTTTTTGTATTTTAGAATTTCATTAATCAACATGGTAATCATTCTCATTCACATTGTAAGTAATTTTACAATTTATCGATAATTTTGACACTTCTCTTCTTTTTGTTTTAAATAAAATGTGTTTATAATACATGATTGCGTACATTATGTTATATTAAATATCCACACATACAGCTTCTTCTTTTTTTTTTTTTTTGTTTCTTTCAAATAGTATATCTAAAAAATGCTCTAATAATTACCTATTTGTTTTATTAGTTTATCTCATTTTTTTTTTTTTTTTGTTTTTCTCTATTTAGTTTCTGATGATTCTGATTACACATCCGATGTATCTTATCCAATTAATCAACAAGCCAATTTAAATTATCCAATGCCATTATCTCAAACTACATCACAACCGTCTAATTCTGTAACACCAACAAATGATTTAACTCAACAACAATCACAAGTTCAACACTCTTCTCGTCTTGATACAAAAGCATTTGCTCGACCTATTATGCGTGATATTAGTACACCTTCGTCGCCGGCACAACGACGAGAACGTATTTTAAATCCGTCTATAAAACAAGTTCGATCATTAACAACATCAAATACTATTGATCAAGATCAAGAACCACTCTATTATGTTAGTCAACCACCGATAAAAAGAAATACAGCAGTAACAAATTATGATCAAGATAGGTAAGCAAATAAAGAAGTTTAACAGAATAAATATGAAAACAAAAAAAAAATCTCTAAAAATGTCATCGATTTTATTTTACTTTTATTTGATTGAGATAATACTAAAAGATTTAATAATAATAAAAAAATAAGACTTAATTAATTATTCTAAAATATAATACTCTATTTTCATTTTCTATTGCATTGAATCGATGACATTTATTCATGTTTATTTATAATCGTAGATCAATGTTGTTCGTCGTTTTGTTTTGTATTGTTATTAAGCTAAATTGTGATGGTAAGTTTTGCTACTGCTGCTATTATAATTATTTTTTTGACTACACACACACACACTCACACACACGCACACACATTCACTCATGTTCTGCATGTAGAAAATTCAGACACATGTTTAATGCACGATAAATACGGTTTTTTTTTGAGCATGTCGAACAAAATTGAGTGAGAATGGATTACTTTGTTGTTGTTGTTTTTTTGTTACGCTTTTGCTTGTTATTATTGTTTTGGCTAAACAGTATGAATTTGGTTTGATTTTTAACGTTTTAGCTGCTAATGACATTGTTTTTAATTAGAATAACAAATAGTGATATGCTAACAGAAGTATAAATTCTATCTATGATTGTTGTTTTGAAAATTTATACAGAGCATCGTACAAATCCCATTACTAGCATGAGTGTATAAAGATTAAAACAGATGATAATAGATTTTTGAATTTTTTTTGACTGTTGCAGTTTTTCAAACTTATGGGGAGATTTTACACCTGTGTATTAATGCTAGAATTTGAGAGTATATTGATAGACAATAGGTGTATGTTTACTATTTATTATAAGTTTAAAGAGATGAGAAAACATTTTAGATTGTGTTTATTGAATAAATTTGTTTTATATCAACTTTTTTGTTATAGAAAAGCGCGTTCCTTACTACGCGCGCACAATCCTTTTCATAACGTTTCTCTTAACTAAGTTGACAATATGTATGTAGAAATTTGTTGGAAGAAAAGATACTGTCATTGTTTAAATTCATGGAAGTTCATTGCCGATAAAAAAATGAAAAATTTGTCGGTGTTGTCTTATCGATGCAAATATGGTGAAAACTTTTATCTTTAATTTCTAAGGAATATTGTTAAAAAATTAGTACAAAGAAATGGTGAGAATGTATAAAGGAAAAAGTTGTACGAAGTAAATTTCTTTTATATTACGAAATTACATGAAGAGCAGAATCATCCATTCATTATCGAAATCATAATAATTTCAGGGTAAGCCAAAATATTGCACTATCGTCAATATTTTCAACGATCAACTAATTTTAGTGTCAAATAGCATCGTCCTTTCTGATCTTATGTTTCTAAAACATTCCGGATTTTTCTTAGTCCAATAACATTTTTAAGTCATAGTCGGGATTAGCCCGTCGAGTTTCATCGTATCATTTATAATACAATTACTCTTAGATCGAACAACTATTCATCGAACGTTTTTTCGAATGAACGTGTAAGACCGATTTTTCCAAAAGTGTTTAGTTTTTTCTTTAAGAGCAGCATCACAGATGGTTCATGACAAAATTGTTTATGATCAAAAACACTCCAATGTCTGTCAGCTATTTGAAAAATGCCCATTTTGACTTTGACACTTGTTAAATGAGTAAATCTTCTTCCAGAATAGTTTCCTATTTTGTCTTTGAAAATCATCTTTTTCTCAGCGTGCTTCTAATGACTTTCTATTTCTTAACCTTACAGTGAAAAAGTTCGTTGGCACACACAAAACGACTAGTGGAAATTTGCGGTGAAGTCAAAAATATTTCCGAAACCAATTTGCCTTTAAGTCTCCCCCCTCCCACTCAGGGGCCTGTTTCTTAAAAAAACTTAAGTAGAAAATCTTACTTAAGTCAAAAAAGACAAAGACTTTTTTGGACTTAAGTTTGACTTAA